TGCGAGCTGCGCCACTGGGACCTTAGGTGGAGCCCCCTGTGGGGCCACGAAACGAGTGAGGGGTGTGCCAAAATGGGGCGGCGGCGCCATGCGAGCTGCGCCACTGGGGCCTTGGTTGGAGCTCCCTATGGGGCCACGAAGCGTGTAAGGGGTGTGCCAAAGTGGGGCGGCGGCGCCATGCGAGCTGCGCCACTGGGACCTTAGGTGGAGCTCCCATGGGGCCACGAAAGTTTGACGGGTGTGCCAGAATGGGGCGGCGTCGCCGTGCGAGCTGCCCCACTGGGACCCTTTGGTGGGGCTTCCAATGGGGCCACGAAACGTGTAAGGGGTGTGCCAAAATGGGGCGGCGGCGCCATGCGAGCTGCGCCACTGGGACCTCAGGTTGGGCTCCCTATAGGGCCACGAAACGTGTGAGGGGTGTGCCAAAAAAATCGAACGGCGGCGCCATGCGAGTTCCGCCACTGGGGCTTTCGGTGGAGCCCCCTGTGGGGCCACGAAACGTGTGAGGGGTATGGCGGCATGCGAGCTACGCCACGGGGATCTTAGCTAGACCATCTTATGGGGCCACGAAGCGCGTGAGGGGTGTGCCAACATGGGGCGGCGGCGCCATGCGAGCTGCGCCACTGGAACCTTTGGTGGAGATTCCTATGGTGTCGCGGGATGTTGTACTGGGTGGGTGAAACGCAGGAAAGAAGAGGAGGAGGGGGATGAGGGGAGGAGGAGGCGAGGAGCGCGGGGCACGGTCTTTCCCAAACGGTGGCCCAACACCACAGGACGGCTGGGAAATAGTAGCAATTGTAGTAGCAGTCGTAGCCGTAGTAGTAGTAGTAGTAGTAGTAGTAGTAGTAGTAGTAGCAGTAGTAGTAGTAGTAGTAGTAGTAGTAGTAGTAGTCGTAGTAGTCGTAGTAGTCCTAGTAGTAGTAGTAGTAGTAGTAGTAGTAGTAGTAGTAGTCGTAGTAGTAGTAGTAGTAGTAGTAGTAGTAGTAGTAGTAGTAGTACTAGTACTAGTACTAGTACTAGTAGTAGGAGTAGTAGTAGTAGTAGTAGTAGTAGTAGTATCAGTAGTAGCCGTAGTCGGAGTAGTAGTAGTAGTAGTAGTAGTAGTAGTAGTAGTGGTAGTAGGCGTAGTCGTAGCCTTAGTAGTAGTAGTAGTAGTAGTAGTAGAAGTAGTAGTAGTAGTAGTAGTAGTAGTAGTAGTAGTCGCAGTAGTCGCAGTAGCCGTAGTAGTCGTAGTAGTCGTAATAGTCGTAGTAGTAGTAGTAGTAGTAGTAGTCGTAGTAGTAGTAGTAGTAGTAGTAGTAGTCGTAGTCGTAGCCGTAGTCGTAGTCGTAGTCGTAGTCGTAGACGTTGGTCGCAGTCATAGTCGTAGTCGTAGTCGTAGCCGTAGTCGTAGTCGTAGCCGTAGTAGTAGTAGTAGTAGTAGTAGTAATAGTAGTAGTAGTAGTAGTAGTAGTAGTAGTAGTAGTGGTAGTAGTAGTAGTAGTAGTAGTAGTAGTAATAGTAGTAGTAGTAGTAGTAGTCGTCGTAGTAGTAGTGGTAGTGGTAGTGGTAGTTGTAGTTGTAGTGGTAGTAGTAGTAGTAGTAGTAGTAGTAGTAATAGTAGGAGTAGTAGTAGTAGTAATACTAGTATTAGTTAGTAGTAGTAGTAGTAACTTAGTACGTAAGTACTAGTACTAGTGCTAATACCAGTTAGTAGCAGTAAGTAGTAGGAACAGCTCTTTCGTGTCTCGTGGTATTGGTAGTGTAGTGGTAAGTGGTAAGTGGTAGTGGTAGTGGTAGTGGTAGTGGTATAGTAATATAGTAGTGAGTAATAGTAGTAGTAGTAGTAGGAGTAGTAATCGTAGTAGTAGCAGTAGTAGTAGTAGTAGTAGTAATAGTAGTAGTCGTAGTCGTAGTAGTAGTAGTAGTAGTAGTAGGAGTAGTAGTAGTAGGAGTAGTAGTAGAAGTCGCAGTAGTCGTAGTAGCCGTAGTAGTCGTAGTAGTCGTAGTAGTCGTAGTAGTCGTAGTAGTCGTAGTAGTAGTAGGAGTAGTAGTAGTCGTAGTCGTCGTCGTAGTCATAGTCGTAGTCGTAGTCGTAGTCGTAGTCGTAGTCGCTGTTTGTAGTCGTAGACGTTGTTCGCAGTCGTACTCGTAGTCGTAGTCGTAGTCGTAGTCGTAGTCGTAGTAGTAGTAGTAGTAGTAGTAGTAGTAGTGGTAGTGGTAGTGGTAGTGGTAGTAGTAGTAGTAGTAATAGTAATAGTAGTAGTAGTAGTACTAGTAGTAGTAGTAGTAGTACTAGTAGTAATCCTAGTCGTAGTAGTAGTAGTAGTAGTAGTAGTAGTAGTAGTAGTAAAAGTAGTCGCCGTCGTCGTCGTAGTAGTAGTAGTAGTGGTAGTAGTAGTAGTAGTAGTCTACTACTACTACTACTACTACTACTACCACTACTACTACTACTACTACTACTACTACTACTACGACTACTACTACTATTATTACTACTACTACTACTACCCTTACTACAACTGCTACTACTACGACTACTACTACTACTACTACTACTACTACTACTACAACTACTACTACTACTACTACTACTACGACTACTACTACTACGACTACTACTACTACTACTACTACTACTACTATTTGCTTCTCCTCCCGCCTCCTTCCCTTCTCCCGCCCTGTTCTTCTGCTGCTCCCCCTCGTGCCTTCCCCCTTCTGGTCGGTCTCTCTGGCCTCCTGGGGCAGCCCCGCTGGAGTGGCTAATCTTTTCAACACCGGCTCTTCCGCAGGGATCGGCCGGGACAGGAATCGGCTGGCACCAGCTCGGGTGTTGCCAGAAGTGCCCCTGGCCCAAGGTGCCCGCAGCTTTTCGCCCCATTCTGGAGCCCCTCGGGCCCCCTGGGCCTCGAGAGGGGTGCTCTGGAGGCCATCTGGGCCACCCCGAGAATCCTGGGGGCACCATGGGCCAGGGGCACTTCTAGCAACATCCGACCAGCGAGCCTGCCTTCAGCATCGAGCATCGAGGAGGAGGAGGGGCAGGAGGAGGGAGGCCGTCCCCGACGTGCCTGCTCCTGTGCCTTGGCGGCGGCACGGCGGCGGCCCCTCTTCTCCTTCCTGGCGTCGGCCCTTCCGGGTCCCTGTGCACGCCACGCCCCTTTGCTTGGGGGCACGGCCACTTCTCGGGACGATCGAAGTGGGTACGGAAAGAATGGGTACGATGCCCAACAGCAGTTCCTGTTCGTTTTGAGCAGGACTCGCTGTCCTCGCCGCCGGGAAGTGATTCTTTGGAGACCGAGGGCCGCCTGCCAAACAGCGGCTGCTGTTGGTTCTGGACAACGTTGGGGCTTGGTGTACGTCAGGAACAACCGAACTGGAGTTGGAACCTGGATAATCATCATAATACCAGGCATTCATGATAGCAACTTCCAATCATCATAATATCAATGAAGGTCAGGACGAGGAAGCATGGACAGCTAACTTTGAACATCAAAGTGGGATCAATATCAGGTCAAAAGACAGCATTCGTACACAACTCACGGCAAGAAACATTTGACACTCTGGACATTGTTTGTTGTTGGGCATCGTACCCATGTGTCCCGTACCCATTCCGGGCGTCCACAAAACCCTTTTGCTTGGGGGCCTGGCCACTTCTCTGGGCTGGCCCATGGCTCGGACAGGGAAGGGCACGAACGCCATGCCAGTTGCACCGCCGTCGTAAGGAGGACGAGGATGAGGAGAACAGTCAACCCGCCAGAATGGGATTAGCGACTCTCCAAGGTGACCCCTGCATCCTTCCCCTTCGGCCCATCCTTGTCCGCTTTCGCTGGCCGCGCCCCGCTCGCAAAGGGTCGGCACGGCCCTGCAAGTGCCCTTGCATCCTTACCGTGCGTCCTTCTACGGGCTGACTGCAGGAAGCTGGAGGAGGGTTTGGGGGGAAAGCTTGGATGGCCTCTGCAAGGAGCCGCCGGCGAGGCAGAAGAGGAGGGGCCCCACCGAGATCGTTGGCATCTGGGAGCTCCAGCGCTTCGAGGACGAGTACCTGCCGGTGCTCCAGGAGTTGAGTAGGGACCGAGCGTCCTGGCATTCGATAGGCTTGCCACGAAATGCTCCGAGAAACCACACAGTTTCTTTGAACAGCGAAACGATTGCTCTTAGAACATCAGCCCGATGTGATAAAACAAGACAGCCCCAGCCAGACATGTTCCCATAACATTTCGTGCAGACCACAAGGCTCTTGGAACATTCTTCGGGGGGGGGCCTATGGGCAAGCCTGGCCGGGGCGCCTCGTCACTGCTTCAAGGAAAGGATGGCGGAGGCGTACCACAAGCCGTGGGCGAAGATCGACAAAGAGGACCCCGCGCGCTCCCGAGGGGGGCCCCGTCCTGGAGGATCGCCGCTCCTCGCCCGATCTCGGCGGGGGGCCCCGAGGAGGCCGGCGGAAGCAGGGGGAGCCTCCCGGAGTTGGCCACGGACGCCCCCGGAGGTGCCAAGAGTAGGGCCAGCATGTTCCCTTACAGGCGGAATGTTCAAACATAGGAAGAACAATAGTTTTGGGACGATGTTTCGACTAGTCTTGACCACAGTTGGGTATTTTTGTGGGCTATTCTTTATGTGTCGTCCGAACCTGTAGGAGGACATGCCCGACCTAATGCCAAGACTCCGAGGAGGAAGAGGTACGGGTAACTTCGACGAAGCACAAGAGTGACCTTTCGCCCGAGTGACCTTTGGTGCGGGCCCAGATGAGTCCCCAGATAGCTGAATGCGAAGCGGTAGCAGCGGCTTGCGCGCCAAGGTTGAACTACCCCGCGTCCCCCGTTCAGCCGTGCAACAAAAGCCACTCTTGCCTAGTCACTCTTTCGTGTCGCCGATACAGATACCCTTTCCCCTCCTCCTGGGAGGCCCTCGTCGTCGCCGCTGGAGTCCCCTCGAGATTATGGTCGGGGCGCACCCTGGGAGGGATCCGGGGAGTAGCGGTATCGGTATCAAGCAGTTAATCGGGCACAGAAGTTTTCGGCGCCGCCCCTGGCGCCTGGCGCCAGGGAGGGGGTCAGCGCCGATAATGCAAAAGATTCCAGCTCGAGGTTTCTCCCGTCAGCCAACTCCCCCCCGTATGTCCCCACTGCAAGAAAATCCTCGATCCTCGGCCATCCCCCTCCCACTCAAAGCCAGCTAGGGTAAGTCTGTGGCCCTCCGATAGTGTTCCGTGCTAGCGTGCCCACAGTTTCCGAAGCTGGCCAGGAGGAGGTCGCTAGCGTTACGTATTACACGATCAAGGTGACGAGGGATGGTTCGGACACCGTGCACAGGAAGCGGTACAACGACTTCCTGGAGAGGGGGAGGAGGAGGAGGAGGAGGAGGAGGAGGAGGAGGAGGAGGAGGAGGGAGGAGGAGGAGGAGGAGGAGAAGGAGGAGGACGAGGACGAGGACGAGGAGGAGGAGGAGCAGCAGGAGGAGCAGGAGGAGGAAGAGAAGGAGAAGGAGAAGGAGGAGAAAGATGATGGTGGGTGAGGAGGGGGGAGAGGAGGGTGGGAGAGGAGAGGAGGGGCGAAAGAGGTGGGCGGGAAGGAGTTCGACAAGCTTATCAGATCCAAGTCCGACCTGAAAGAGGTGCTGTCTGGAATGCCTCCGCTGCCGACCACTGGCGTGTTCGGGGTCCGGCATGCGCTGGGCCTTGTGGATTTCCACAAGAGGAGGCGGGACGGACTGCAGAAGTACATCGATTTTCTCATGGACAGACTGAACATCAGGCAATTGCACGGTTTCTTGTGAAAGTGTTTGATTCGCTTTCAGTCGTAGGTACGTGTAGCAGTGGGGGCCTGTCTTGATATTGATCATTGTTTGCCCTCGCAGCTTTAGTGTCCACGTATTGGTCTTACACGATTTGCGGGCCACGATATTTTGGCCGTTCTAGTTGTCACCGTGAAGACGGCGTCACACTCTTTGCTCGCCACCGATGTGTTGCGCGCGGCGTAGGTACGTAGGCAGTGGCCAGCGCCTCAGAGGCAAACGCTCGCTTGCGCATCGAGGCTGTGACAAGTTTGCCGTGATATCGGGTGCTCGGAGGGGGAATGCGGAAGAGGAGAAGAAGGAGAAGACATTGAAGGCGGAAGACATTGAAGGCGGAACCTGGAGCCTCTTGGGCCGCCTTAGAGCTCCCTTGGGCCTCCCCGGCAGTCCTCGGATTCTCTTGGGGCTCTCTCGGATGCCTCTTGGGCCGTCTTCAGGCCATCTTGGGGCGTTTTGAACCCTTATCCGGCCGTCTTGGGCTCTCGAGGCCGTCTTCAGAGCCTCCTGGAGCGGTCTTCGGGGAGTCTTAAGCCCTCCTGTTGGCGCGGTGGCCATCCTATTGGAATCCTGGGGAACCTTAGAGCGGTCAGGAATTCGAGCTCCCCCTCAAATGTTTTTCCCAACAATCCTGTGGTGTTGGGTCCTCGTTTTGAAGAGACGGTGCCCCGCGTCCTCCTCTCCTCTCCTCCTCTCCTCTCCTCCTCCTCCCCCTCCTCCTCCATTCCTCCATTTCGGCACACCCCTCACACGTTTCGTGGCCCCATAGGGAGCTCCACCGACGGTCCCAGTGGGTGTGCCCGCATGCGTCCCGCACACCCATTTCGGCACACCCCTCACACGTTTCGTGGCCCCATGGGAGCTCCACCGAAGTCCCAGTGGGTGTGCCCGCATGCGTCCCGCACACCCATTTCGGCACACCCCTCACACGTTTCGTGGCCCCATAGGGAGCTCCACCGAAGGTCCCAGTGGGTGTGCCCGCATGCGTCCCGCACACCCATTTCGGCACACCCCTCACACGTTTCGTGGCCCCATAGGGAGCTCCACCACACCGGTCCCAGAGGGAGCTCCACCGAAGGTCCCAGTGGGTGTGCCCGCATGCGTCCCGCAGACACATTTCGGCACACCCCTCACGTGGCCCCATAGGGAGCTCCACCGAAGGTCCCAGTGGGTGTGCCCGCATGCGTCCCGCACGCCCATTTTGGCACACCCTTCACACGTTTCGTGGCCCCTTAGGGAGCTCCACCGAAGGTCCCAGTGGGTGTGCCCGCATGCGTCCCGCACACCCATTTCGGCACACCCCTCACACGTTTCTTGGCCCCACTGGGAGCTCCACCGAAGGTCCCAGTGGGTGTGCCCGCATGCGTCCCGCAAACCCATTTCGGCACACCCCTCACACGTTTCGTGGCCCCATAGGAGCTCTGCCGAAGGTCCCAGTGGCACAGTCCGCATGCGTCCCCGCCATTCATTTCGGCACACCCCTCACGCGCTTCGTGGCCCCATAGGAGCCCCGCCGAAGGTCCCAGTGGCACAGTCCGCATGCGTCCCCGCCAATGATTTTGGCACACCCCTCACACGTTTCGTGGCCCCACAGGAGCTCGGCCGAAGGTCCCAGTGGCACAGTCCGCATGCGTCCCTGCCACTCAGATCAGCAAACCCCTCACACGTTTCGTGGCCCCATAGGGAGCTCCACCGACGGTCCCAGTGGGTGTGCATAGGGGGCCCCCATAGGAGCTCCGCCGGGGCCCATAGGGGCTCCGACCATAGGGGCTCCGCCGAATGTCCCAGTGGCACAGTCCGCATGCGTCCCCGCCACTCAGGTCGGCTCACCCCCCACACGTTTCGTGGCCCCATAGGAGCTCCGCCGAGGGTCCCAGTGGCACAGTCCGCATGCGTCCCCGCCGTTCATTTCGGCCCACCTCTCACACGTTCCGTGGCCCCTATAGGAGCTCCGCCGGGTCCCCGAGGCGCAACAGTCCGCATGCGTCCCCGCCATTCATTTCGGCACACCCCTCACACGTTTCGTGACCCCATAGGAGCCCCGCCGAAGGTCCCAGTGGCACAGTCCGCATGCGTCCCCGCCAATGATTTCGGCACACCCCTCAGGCGTTTCGTGGCACCATAGGGAATTCCACCGACGGTCCCCGTGGCGCAGTCCGCATGCGTCCCCGCCACTCATGTCGGCACACCCCTCACACGTTTCGTGACCCCATAGGAGCTCCGCCGAAGGTCCCCGCGGCACAGTCCGCATGCGTCCCCGCCACTCATGTCGGCACATCCCTCACACGTTTCGTGACCCCAAAGGAGCTCAGCCGAAGGTCCCAGTGGCGCAACCCCGCCAGTGATTCCGGCACACCCCTCACACGCTCCGTGGCCCCATAGGGAACTCCACCGAAGGTCCCCGTGGCGCAGTCCGCATGCGTCTCCCTCACCCAGTAAAGCGTTTCGTGGCCCTATATGGAGCCCCACCGACGGTCCCAGTCAGCCAGCTAGATCTCTTTGCTCCGCGCAGCGGACGTCCCGCGCGCGTCGCTGGGACCCCTCCGGGGCGACCAGCGCGCGTCGCGGGGACTCCGTGCTGCGTTCTGCCCAGCGCCTCGCTCGCCCGTCGTCGCTCTGCCCAGCGGTAAGAGCCTTGCCCGCTATCAGCCAGCCAGCTAGCTCTCTTTGCTCCGCGCAGCGGACGACCCGCGCGCGTCGCTGGGACCCCTCCGGGGCGACCTGCGCGCGTCGCGGGGACTCCGCGCTGCGCTGCGCCCGCAGCCTTGGACTTTTGAGTGCGCGGGCTAAGAGGGAGTATAAGAAGGGGAGGAAGCGGGCGCGATCCTCGCGGGGGGGCGCGCCGACATTGGCGTCGTGGCGCGCGGGCGATGCCGTCGGGGAGTCCTGGGGAAGCTCCTTGCGGCGGCCACGCCCAGCGTCACGAATACTCAGACGCAGTCATTCTCAAACTATTGACATTCATGTACAATTTCACCATGCTTTGTCATACTCGCATTCATGCACGTAGACCCGCTCGCACGCAGATTCATTCACAGTCAGACGCGGTCGCGCTCGGATTCATCCGCGCTCAGTCTCCCTACGTACTCAGATCAATCGTTTTCGTTCGCGTTGTGTACCACGTCACTCATTTTGGCGCGCCCCTATCACGGTTCGTTGCCTCATAGGGATCGCCACCGAAAAAGTGCATCACTATTGCGGCATTCACACCTGCACATGGTTGGGTCCCTCGTCAGGCTAATTGTTTGCGCGGCGGGCCCCGCAGGAGACGGTTGAACGGAGGCAGGATTGGAGGGCGAGGGCAAAATAATTAACGCTAGCATTCCGCACTTTCGGATATGCGGCGGGTCTTCGGCAATGCGCAGAGCTCTGACAGTTTTTCGAAACAAAAAACGCCTCAGACGCCCATGTGGCTGAACACATTGCGCAATGAGCCCGCCGCAGGCGCCGTATTTTCGTCAAAGCTGTGTGTATATATATATATATATATATATATATATATATACGTGTGTATGGTTGGTCGCGGGGTGGGTCGCGGGCGAGGGCGACGACAACACCATCAACATCAATGGCGCAACAATGAAACAACGCACCAACAATCCGCACCGCGGAACACCACTTCAGCCACGCGCCAAGGATAGTGAATTACCGGCCAGCCCCCTCAATCTGACGAGCGGCATGGGGGAAAACGGTTGAACAGCAGAACGGGCCGTCGAGATGACCCGGCTGTGGTGGTAGTTGATGTCTTATTTTCTGTGTTTTGTCATTCGAGCCAAAGGTATGGCAGACATCGCAAGACATCAGTTCAGCATGCTCCGTCACAGCCCTGGGCCCCTAGGGGGGGCCGCGAATGTTGTTCCCAACCATCCTGTGGTGTTGGGTCCTCTTTTTGACGACACGGTGTCCCGCGCCTCCTCTCCTCCTCTTCTCTTCCTCCCCGTCCTTCCTCCTCCCTCCTCCCACCATCATCATCGTCATCATCATCATCATCATCGTCATCATCACCAATTTCGGCTCACCCCTCACACGTTCCGTGGCCCCATAGGGAGCTCCGCCGAAGGTCCCAGTCGGTGTGCCCGCATGCGTTCCGCACACCCATTTCGGCACACTCCTCACACGTTTCGTGGCCCCATAGGGAGCTCCACCGAAGGTCCCAGTGGGTGTGCCCGCATGCGTCCCGCACACCCATTTCGGCACACCCCTCACACGTTTCTTGGCCCCACTGGGAGTTCCGCCGGAAGTCCCAGTGGGTGTGCCCGCATGCGTCCCGCACACCCATTTCGGCACACCCCTCACACGTTTCGTGGCCCCATAGGGAGCTCCACCGACGGTCCCAGTGGGTGTGCCCGCATGCGTCCCGCACACCCATTTCGGCACACCCCTCACACGTTTCGTGGCCCCATAGGGAGCTCCACCGAAGGTCCCAGTGGGTGTGCCCGCATGCGTCCCGCACACCCATTTCGGCACACCCCTCACACGCTTCGTGGCTCCATAGGGAGCTCCACCGAAGGCCCGAGTGGGTGTGCACGCATGCGTCCCGCACACCCATGTCGGCACACCTCTCACACGTTTCGTGGCCCCATAGGGAGGTCCTCCGAAGGTCCCAGTGGGTGTGCCCGCATGCGTCCCGCACACACATTTCGGCACACCTCTCACACGTTTCGTGGCCCCATAGGGAGCTCCACCGACGGTCCCAGTGGGTGTGCCCGCATGCGTCCCGCACACCAATTTCGGCACACCCCTCACACGTTCCGTGGCCCCATAGGGAGCTCCACCGAAGGTCCCAGTGGGTGTGCCCGCATGCGTCCCGCACACCCATTTCGGCACACCCTTCACAGGTTTCGTGGCCCCATAGGAAACTCCACCGAAGGTCCCCGTGGCGCAGTCGGCATGCGTCTCCCTCGCCGGTACAGCGTTTCGTGGCCCCATAGGGAGCCCCACCGAAGGTCCCCGTGGCGCAGTCCGCATGCGTCTCCCTCACCAAGTACTGCGTTTCGTGGCCCCATGGGGAGCTCCACCGAAGGTCCCCGCGGACGACCCGCGCGCGTCGCTGGGACACTCTCGGGGCGACCAGCGCGCGTCGCAGGAACTCCGTGCTGCGTTCTGTCCAACGCCTCGCTCCCCCGTCGTCGCTCTGTCCAGCGGCATGAGCCTTGCCCGCTATCAGCCAGCCAGCTAGCTCTCTTTGCTCCGCGCAGCGGACGACCCGCGCGCGTCGCTGGGACCCTTCCGGAGCGACCAGCGCGCGTCGCGGGGACTCCGTGCTGCGTTCTGCCCAGCGCTTCGCTCGCCCGTCGTCGCTCTGCACAGCGGCATGAGCCATGCCCGCTATCAGCCAGCCAGCTAGCTCTCTTTGCTCCGCGCAGCGGAGGACCCGCGCGCGTCGCTGGGACCCCTCAGGGGAGACCTGCGCGCGTGGCGGGGATTCCGCGCTGCGCTGCGCCCGCAGCCTTGGACTTTTGAGTGCGCGGGCTAAGAGGGAGTGAAACAAGGGGAGGAAGCGGGCGCGATCCTCGCGGGGGGGCGCGCCGACATTGGCGTCGCGGCGCGCGGGCGATGTCGTCGGGGAGTCCCGGGGAAGCTCCTTGCGGCGGCCACGCCCCGCGTCACGAGTATTCAAACCATTGACATTCTTGTACAATTACGCCATGCTTTGTCGTACTCGAATTCATGCACGTAAATTCGCTCGCACGCAGATTCATTCACAGTCAGACGCAGTCGCGCTCGGATTCATCCGCGCTCAGTCTCCCTACGTACTCAGATCAATCGTTTTCGTTCGCGTAGTGGACCACGCCGTTCATTTCGGCACCCCCCCGAGCATGGTTCGTTGCCTCCTAGGGATCACCAACGAAAAAGTGAATCACAACTGCGGTACTCACACCTGCATATGGTTGGTTCTTTCGTCAGGTTAATTTTCAAGATTGCATTCGGTTGCTTGTTGGGCCGTCCTGAGCTAACCATGTTTGTTTCCTGGCCGGGGTTCCCTGAGGCCCAAGATCGGTAAACTGCAGCAAGATCAGAGAGTGCCTTTCCGACCGGATTTGCGCGGGTCCGCTATGGGGTCGCTGAACAAGGTAGCGTGGGGAAGCTTACGAGGGGGAGTTGCTAAGGGGAGTTAGCAAGGGGAGCTAGCATGTGTGAGTTGGTAAAGGCCGGTTCTACCAGGCTAGCGCGGGCACGCTCGTGGGCCCCACCTTTCTCCCTTATCCGCTGCTGCGGGGCTCACGTCCTTGTCCCTCTCCGCCCCTGCTCACCTTGCTCCCTCCTCTGCTTTCCCCCCTCACCTCCCAGCCTGCATGTCCCGCTCGCCTTGTTATGCCGAGAGGATGGACGACCTCCATTCTGGACGTCGAGCCCTCATTTGTCGGGTGGGTCAAGGCCCAGGGTCAAAGCGTTCTTGCAGCCTTCAGAGCATCTCAGAGCATTCTGGAGCGCTCTGAAACTGCCTCGGCGCCAAGAGCGTCCTCCAGAGACGCGATCTCAGAAATCCCTGATGTATCCCGATGCGAGTTTGTCTTGATCCTGGCTTCGTCTCAATTTGGGAAGGAGGGGGTTTTATTTTGTGCGGGAATAGCTTCCCGAGCAGGGGACGGACCTGCCAATTGTGGAGGTTCTCGATTCTCTGGGTATGTACCCCCCTTACTCTCCCTCCCCTCCCCCCTCCGCTCCGGGCGTGGGGCAGCTGGCCCCTCTCCTGCGCGATGGCTGCCCCCCCCGGCGGCGGCGGCGCAAACGCCCAGGGCTCAGCCCGCCATCGGCGTCGTCTTCGTCGTCTTGCTTGTCGTCTTCCTCGTCGTTGCTCGTCTTCGTCGTCGGCATCTTGGCCATCCTGACCGTCGTCGTCTTCGTCGTCGTATTTCTTGTCTTCGTCGCCTTCGTCTTTTCCGTGGTCGTGACCGTCTCTTTCGTCTCCTTCTGTGAATGCGTGCCATATTTTCACCGACAGGTTTAGCTAGTGGACGTTTATCCTTGATTTGCCGTAGTGTGTGCACTATCGTTTGTATTGTTGCATACGCAGGACAGTGTGAGTGCACCGTGGTTCGCACGTTGGGCTCAAGTCTAAAAACCTTTGACTGCCGCTGCTGCTGCCACAGTTGGTAGCGGAGCGGTGGAAGCCTCGGGACCAGGGGTTCCCTGACTGCGCGCCGGCATGGCGAGCAGCACGGGAGCTCGGCGGCTCTGAGGCGACCTCCGCGCCGAGCAGGCCGACTGGCGTGGTTCCACGGCATGACAGGGGACGAGGACAAGAGCAGCGAGGGGTTCGCCGGGGCGGTGATCACTGGGCCAGAGGGACAGCCGAGTGCAGCCACCGCGGGCTTGACGACCGAGCAGCTGAAGGAGATGATCGCCGGAGTAGTCAGGGAGACTATGCAGTCGGCGACCGCTTCGAGGGCAGCAGCGTCAAGCCAACCGGGGGAAGGAACTTGGGACCCTTGGTCAGCAGCAGCAGGCGATATCAAGAAGGATTCCAACAACAAGAACGAGAAGGATGGCAACACGAAGGACAACGAGCTCGACCAGGATCAGGGCAACACGGACCGATGGTGGCAGCACCACTGGGCCAGCGACAGCTGGAGCCGCGACGACAGCTGGGGCTGGAACAACTCCCGGGGCTCATCAGGCAGGGGAGACTTCTCCGACCCGCCAGCGTGGCCAGGCTGGAGTCACTACAGGCAATGGCGCAAAGCTCTGACGCGCTGGGATACGAACACAGATGTACAAGTGTGGCGCAGAGCAGAGAAGTTTCTCAAGCTATTCGATTGGGGAATGCAGGCCAAGTTCGAGGATACCCCAGAGGCCACCCTCAGCAGCAACAAGTGGCTTGAGACGGTGCTTGGTCGCATGGATATGATGATCGGAGAGCGAGAAGGAGACCATCTCCGCCGCACGGGGCGCAAGGCACTGTTCGAAGCTAGTCGTGATCCAAAAGAAACTCTCATCCAGTTCGTTAGTCGATGGGAGGCTCAGCTTCAAGAAGCCGAGGGTCACGACATGTGGTTATCATCAAAGCTGAAGGGACTACTACTCGAGGAGGGGGCTGGGCTCACGCCTCAAGGCCTCCAGAACTTGCGTACTCTCACGCGGGGACAGCTCGACTATGAGAGCGTCTCGTGGGCGCTGAAGCAGATGGACCCCACTGGCTCTGAGCGCCTGTTGCCTGGCCGAGCCTCTCTCGGCACAATGCACGTTGCTGGCAGCACTGAGGACGAGGAGCCCAGTGCCGACGGCACGCCCTACTCCTCCACTCCCTCCAGTGGTTTCAACGGTGCTGCCGACGAGGACTTGGAGGATCCCGATGAAGAGACTGACGACGAGGAAGAAGAATATGATCAGATGGATGAGGCAGCTATCATGGCAGAACTAGAGGACCTCGACCTCTACGAGGATCAGGTCGACGAGGCGCTGGCAGCCATCGCCACGCGCCCAGTCAACAGGACCTGGAAGCAGAACAAAGACATCAAGCGTGCAGCGAAGAAGGACCGTGAATACTTTGGAGGTCGTGCTCGAGCATCGGATGCCAACATCCCGCCACCACCTCGGCTCTCACCTCAGGCCCGTCGAGACGATCGCGGGCGAGGACGCGGGGACCGGGGCAGAGGGCGTGACCGGGACCAGAGGCCAAGGAGGTTTCCCAAGTTGGCTCTGGAGCAGCGCATGAAGGTCACCAAATGCAAGCTTTGCCACCAGAAAGGCCACTGGGCTCGAGAATGTCCTACCAACAATGGCAGCGGCAGGACGGACAGGCAGAAGCTCTCGGCCTACACCTTCACCGGATGAGTGTTTCTCGAGGGCAGGTCTGTCACCCAGGAGGCGATCGAGGACTGGGAGGAGATCGAGGAAGAGCTCACCCAGGACGACGCCTTCATTGTCACGCGTCCAGTGCAGGTCCTGGTCGACCCCGGGGCGGGCAGCGACCTGGCGGGGGTGAATGCTCTCAACTGGGAGGCTCGTGCCCGGGCAGAGGTCGGGCTCAGGTACGTGGAGGTGCCATCCGACCTCCGTCGACCGCGCGCCGCCCACGGAGTTTGGGGAGCTGCAAAGGTAGTGAGCGCCGTTCTGTTTCCCATCTGTGTGGCAGGAGTGCTTTGGATCGTCGAGGCAACAGTGCTCGCCGAAGAAGTTCCACATATTCTCAGCGTGAATATTTTGGACTTTCTGGGCTGCGTGATAGATTTGCCGAGCAATGTCATGCAGTCGTCTCGGTTGGGCGCAGAGATCCCGATGACGAAGCTGGGGTCTGGCCACAGGATGGTGGACATCATCCAGAAGCTGCCAGATTCAGTGGTGCCCCAGTCTGCCCTTGAGAGTTTTCCGTATCTGATTCCAGATGCTTTTCAACGCAAGACGGGACCTGTACAAGTGATGTCTGCCGAGGGGCAGATCAAGAGTTACATGGTCACCTCCCTCGTCCTAGCCCTTATCACGATCAGCATCCCCCAGGCCCTAAGGAGCCACAACAACGCCATCAAGTGTAAGAACAGGCCCGAGAGGGCCATGCACAAGCGGATCAACAGCAACGGGCATCTCGGAAAGATCAGGCAGGGCACCGTCATAGGGGCCCTGATCGGCCTCATCGGGAAGTACGAGTCTGGGGCTCAGCAGGCCTCGATCGCTAGATCGCGTCAGTCAACTAAGGACATCGTCAGGCTCCACAAGAGACCAAGGACCAACCGGGGGGCTAGGAGCAGTCAGCAGAACCAATACAACAACAGCAGCAGAGTCTTGGGGCTGGTTGCATCCGTAGCCATTCTTGGCTCGAGCCTTTTCAACTCTCAGCGATCTCCGAGGCGTGCCACGCACCGAGTGGCAAGGCAATCCACATTCTGCGACAGTCGAAACGATGAACCAAGTCGTTGCCGCAGTGATGCTGGCTGTTGCTATGACGGCAGAGGCGGGTCCCAAGAGGAAGCCGGTGGCTCAGGAGCTGAACGTGGAGAGGCTCAGACAGCTACGCGGAGCAGCTCAGACCGAGGCCGGACCCAGTGGCGAGGATGTTCCCGACATGTCCGCGGACGAGAGCGCAGTTGGACCCGCTATCCAGGCGGGGCCACTACCTACCATGCATGAAGTGACGGCAGCCACGATGCCAGGGGCGGCCACTGCCCAGGCGGCCGCGGCAGCAGCGACGGCTCTTCCGACCGTGCCCGGTCCGCCCATGTCGTTTGGACCAGACGGGGCCGCAGCGGCAGCGGCCGCTCACGCAGCTGCCCCCGGTCAGCCTGGGGCTTTCAGTCCCTACGGTTGAGCGCCAGTCAAGCCACCGCCGAAGCCAGCAGTAAAGCTTCCTCCGAAGCCATTTCCACAGGCGACGGGCTGTCCTGGAGCTTCCGAGTCGGAGGAGGATCCAACCATGCGAGTACCAGACGGGCCATGCAGCTGTCCTCAGGGCCCAACTCTGAAGTACTACGGAAACCAGTACGGACGGGGATCCAAGTGTCGGAGGTGCAACCGCCGCCTCCAGTGGATCCCGCGCAACGAAGTCCACCCTCCAGGAGACCGCCCCGAGTCGGCGGCCGAGGCAGCCAGGCGGGCAGCCGAGTCAGCGGGTCGCGCAGTGGAGATGCTGCAGAACAGTCCGCAATCTATCGAGGGCTCGGCAGCGCTGAACACGGTGAATGGCCTATACTCGCTACTTCAAGCTCTGCAATGGCAGCTACACGACTTGCCGGAGGGTGTCAAGGCCATGAAGGGGATACAGTCGGTGGTGGACCAGATGATCGAGTACGCTACCCAGCAGCAGCCCCTCATGACCAGCCAGGTCGAGGAGGGCCTCCAGCAGATCTGCCAGGGCGTCACTCACGTCCGCCGAAGCCTGGGAACCTTCGAGGTGCTGGGCGACACCGTCGATTCAATCCAGGAGAGCGTCGGGCGCATCCAGACAGAGGTGTCCAACACCAACCAAGCGATCAACCAGCTGGTCCAGATGACTGTTCAGATCGGGACAGCAGCGCAGGGCATCGTGAACTACCTCAACATGAACATCCAGAGTCAGGGCCAGGCGCTGATGAACACCACAGGGTCTCCAGGAGCGAGTGGGGGCGGACTTCCACCGCCGCCCTCGCCGGAGCACTCGAGCCCGCAGACTACGACGCCACCGCCGCCCCAGGAGATGGACCACCAGGCGGGCGCCGAGGTGTCCACGACTCCGGGGGCGAGCTCGTGGGAGCTAGTGTGAGCAGCCAGCGGTCTGCCTTGCATGTCCGGGCCTCGAGGGAGGCTCGACAGTTTTCCGAGCTGGGCCTAGTAGCCAGCTACTCGAGCGGTGCCCACTCAACAGTTCGAGGGAGAACCTCGGGCTCCTCCTACTTCCATGCTTTTCCGTCGTGTTGCTATCCAGTTGAGCCCCAGAGAGACCGAGCTGCCCTCGTCGCCACGGCCGGACCTGAAGGGTTGCAGGAGAAGACCGACCCTCTTCCCAGGTCGTCGGCGATACCACACAGTTTGAGAGCACTCTGGAATGACGGGGACTGCACTAACGACGACCACGAAGTGGCGTGGACAAGCACCGTCAGGGCGGCTATCGAGCGAGGAGCAGCTGCTGAGTCCCTCAGTCAAGGAGGAGACTGGGCCCAGTCGGGGCCCTCCGGGATGATCAAGGCCAAAACCAAGGGTCGCACGTCGTCTTTGGAGATCTTTTCCCCACCTAGGATTGCCCCTGAAGTCGACCGCAAGGGGGGCACCCTGGGCGAGAGGTCAAGTCTGGACCGACTGACTGGATGGGACTCGTTGAGGC